AAAAAAAAAAAAAAAAAAAAAAAATATTCACATAAATATAGGAAAATGGAAAAGGGTTATTCATTTTATAGTGGCACAGATAGAGAGAGAGCAGGAGATAGAGAGTTTAGAGAGAGAAATCGTAGGTGGAGAGAAGCTGAAAGAGAGAAATTTGGGGAAGGAGAGAGATTTGTGAAGAAATCTCAAACAAAGATCTCTCTGTTTTTGTTTTTTTTTTATCCGGTGAATCTCGATTTTATCTCCGGTTGTTTTCCGGCGAGCTATGCTCGTGTGACCTACCTTTTGATGAGATATCGGATTGAATTTCTGCGTCTGTGTGGTGAAGCTCGAGTCCCGGTTGCGAAGGTGAGTAATGGACAGAAACAGAGAATCGAGGAGAGCGAGTATCGTCGGCTCCAATGGCTTCAATAGAAGGAGGTACAGGACAAACAGCGTTAGAGACTCTCCAGGTTGATCAACGTGAAGATTTCATTTCAACAGATCTGATTTTTTTTCTTTTTTTTTTTTGTGAGGACTGAATCATTTTACAGTGGATATTTGTTAAAGATTGAGCTTTGCTATTTTGATTACAATTTTTTTTGTTTTTGTTTGTTTTTGTGATTTTGCAGATGAAGATGGGGGACTTGAATTGCAGGAATCAGTGAGGTTAAGGGAGAGAGTGAAGAAATATCCAGATCGAGAGAGGGAGAGAGAAAGAGATAGAGAAAGATACAGAGAAAGGGAGAGAGATTTGAGAGAGCGGTCCAGTCGGATTAAGAGAAGGAGAGCCGAGAGGCTGGCGAGCCACAAAGACGATACCGGCGGCGATGATACTTCCGACGAGAGCCTCAACGACGACGAGGACGATGAATACGAAGAGAACGTTACATCCACCATCAAGATGTTGTCGCCGGCGGTAGGTTCCGTTTCCAACCACCAAGTTCATGTCGGCAACCACCACCACCACAATCACAGCCACAGCAGTGGCTTTAGTCAACAACAGCACAACAGTAACAGTAGTAGCAATATTCTAATTAACAGTAGCCACCATCTTCAACACAGGAAGACCTTCCCTCCTATCTCTTCTTCTTCTTCAGCCAAGGTTCTCAGAGCACCGCCTGTTTGGAAATCCGGCGATGAGATGATCAGTGTCTCCGTTCCCAGAAAAGCTCGTTCTGGTGATCTTATTAATCTCCAAACAATCGTTTGTTCTTTGTGATTTTTCAGGAATTTTTCTAATTCTTTCATATTTTTGTTTTTGGGTTTTTCTGTAGCTTCTACAAAGAGGTCGCACGATTGGATTTCAAGTACCAGCAATAACAATAGCAGCGGCGGAGTTTCCGGAGGGGCAGATCAAATTCCGGCCCAGCCAACGAGCTCTCCGGCAAGACCAACTCACATGTCGGCATCCACCGCGCCTCCCGCGGCGGCAGATCCGCCGTCTCCATCTTCTTCAAATGCTTCCATTAGAAAGAAGCTTGTTAGTGATTCAACAGCTCTTAAATTAATTTCCAAAAACATCAAATTATATCCCTGATTGACTTTTTTTGGTTTCTACTTATTCTGCTCCAGAAACACAGCGCTAACAACACCGCCGGTCCTAAACCCAAGCCGCCGAAAGTCTCAGCATTATCATCGAAGCTGAGCTCTTCTCACCCGGAGGAGCTTGAGATCGAGATTGCCGAGGTTTTATACGGCTTGATGACCCAGTCACAAGGCCCATCTTCATCAAATAAAGAGGAACCAAGAGAAGTAAATCATTTGAGCATCGATGCAAAGTCGCGAAATTCATCTCCGATCTCTAATTCTACTTCGAATAATAATACTAATAATAACAGTATGAATAATCTCCATCCTGGACCCAATTCCGGCCCCCTTTCAGCCGTCGGTAGGTGATTCTGCCTCAGCTTTGTTTATATTTGGTTGGAAACTTTTAGAAATACCATGAAAAAAAAAGATATTTTTTTTGACATATTATGTATTTGTTTATTTGCAGCCCAGACGAGGAAGAGGCCGAGGCAGGTACCGGAAAGATCGACCTTGGGTGCACGGACAAAACCAGAAACAGATGAGACATCAGATAACAAAATGTTGGGATCTGCAGGTGAGACTGCGTCTGAAGCGGTGGGGATTAATTCGGTCATTTCACAAGATTCGACGAAGTCGGATTTGGAGCTGAAGCCATCGGCCGACGAATTTAGAGAAAGCAGAGATTGGGTTGTTGGGAAGGAAGATGTTAGCTCATCGAAGGAGCAGGAATCTCCTGCTGTGAGAGGTCAGGATACCAGCAGTAGGGACTCGCCATCGGTAGCCACAGCCTCATCTGCTGCGGATACACCTATTAATGGGTAAGTGAAAAAGATTGAAGATTTTCACTTTTCACTTAGTCAAAATTTGTTTTTTTGTTTTCTTTTTTCTTTTGTTCCTATATTTATTTTGATTGTAATAAATGACATAATCTGTGTATTTTGGCCTCGTTGGAAAATTTTAGGAATTTGCCTGGTGTTGGAGTTGAGAAAGAAGAAAAGTTTGAGATAGATCTGATGGTGAGTATATCTAACATTTTACTTTTTTCTCTTTCTTTAGTTTTTTGGCAGCTTAAACAAACTTCTTTTTTGACGCTGAAATATAAAGTTTAATTCGGCTCGTCTTGAATCGGCATTTCAGGCACCCCCAACACAAGCAAGATCATCACCCGAAAGGGAAACCAATATTGATTTGAGTGCTTCAACCATTGTTGATAGAGTATGTACATCTTCAAATATATTATTATGATTATTATTATTACTTTTAGCCTCCAGGTTTGATTGTGTTTGTACTGAGAGCTGATTGATAATTGTACTTGTGCAGGATATGAATCATGTAACAGTATCCAAAGATAACGACAACGATAAAGCTAAAAGTGAAAGTGGGAGTTTACATTCATTGAATGTGGCAGCTGAAGAAAAGAAATCCGAGGAGAGTGAATCTAACAACAAGGCGATCGACAACAAGGGGCGTGATATCGATTTACACCTTGATTTGGATAAACCGGACAAAGATGTTGTGAGCTCTAGCATTAACGCCAAGGACAACAAATCCCGAAGGCAGATACAGAAGCAAGCACAGCCGCAAGTACCTTTTAAGGTCGCCGGCAAAGAAGAGCCTCCCTTTGAGAAACCTGGCAAGTATTTTTATATTTTCTTTTCAGCCGAAATTTTTCATTTTTCCCCTAATGGCGGTCTTTCGGACTGGAGAAAGTTTTGATTCGTATATTTATTTTTGGTTAGGTCATTCAGCAAGCTCGCTGCCTTTACCCATGCAAAGTTGGCCTGGTGGGCTTCCTCCTATGGGGTATGGTCGGTTAAGTTATTGCCTCATTATTAACTTTTATTTGGGCAAAAAAAAGGGGCAAATCTATTTTTTAAAGGTATTGTTTTTCGGAAAATAAGGTAAAATTTTATTGTCAACAGATATATGGCCCCATTGCAAGGAGTGGTCTCTATGGATGGAAGTAGTGTGGCACCAGCTCATTTACAGGTAAACAAGATCATTGTTCATCATTTTTGTTACATTTTCTTTTTT